TACAGGATTCCCAGTTACATCTGAATGCTAGATAAACAATGGTCGTGTGTGTGTGTGTGTGTGTGTGTGTGTGTGTGTGTGTGTGTGTGTTTGCACTGGGGGTGGAACCTAGAGCCTCCCATGTGCTAGGCAAGTGCTCACCACTGAACAGCACCTCCAGCATTTTTATTTTTTATTTTGAGACTGGGTCTCCCTGAGTTGCCCAGGGTGGGCTCCAATTTACAGTCTTCCTGCCTCAGCCTCCTGAGCAGCTGGGATGACAGATCAGTCCCGCAGTGCCCTAACAATGACTAAATTTGTAGATAAGTAGTACATTCTGTGCATTACTGGGGACTGACTTAGAGTAAAGAAAAGGCTGTTAGGCGTGGTGATGCACGCCTATAATCCCAGCACTCAGGAGGCTGAGGCAGGAGGATTGCCATGAGTTTGAAGCCAGTCTGGACCACACAGTGAGTTCAAGGCCATTTGAACTGCATAGCAAGACCCTGTCACAAGCAAACAAAAAAAGAAGAAGAAGAAGATGGAGGAGGAGGAGGAGGAGGAGAAAGAGAGAGAGAAAGGAAGGAAGAAAGAGACTGTTTACCCAACGTTCAAGTTTTTGTGTGCCTTGGGTTCCATCTGGGGCCCCCCAGCTCCATGCAGTAACCTAGCTCCTCAGCCTACTCTGCACCCCGAGAGGAAGTGGGGCTACCAGCCCCCATGGGGCAATGCAACGGCCTCCCAGCCCCAGCTATAAGAGGGAAGGTGGGATAGGGTGGGCCAGAGACCCTGGAATCCTGGCCCCACCATGACTCAAGGCCACGGAGCACCCAGCCCTGCCCTCACCTATGTGCTGCTGGCCCTGCTGCTGGGCGGTGAGTGGCACCTGCTCCCACCTGTCCCCAGGGTCCTTCCCCGATGCCTGCCTGGGGCCCTGGTCCTCGTGGGCGGCAGCAGCTAGGATGAGAATCTGCAAAATGAGACAGAGGTTCCCAGCGGAGGAGCCCACAGTGGGAGTTTGTAAACCAGGGCTTCCCAGTGCCCTCCTGGGGCTCTGACATGGCTGAGCCTCAGCAGAGGGCACAGATCTGGTGTCTTCCTCTCCCTGTGCCTCAATTTCTTCATCCTGTGTCCCCAGGCCCTGCGCTGGCCTCAGACATCGTGGGTGGCCACCCAGCACGGCCCCACTCCAGGCCCTACATGGCATCACTGCAGCGGCTCGGAGGCCACTTCTGTGGTGGGACCCTGATCGCCAGGAACTTCGTGATGTCAGCTGCGCACTGCGTGAACGGCCTGTGAGTCCCCAGGGACCTCGAGTCCCACAGGGTGGGATCCCTTGGGGCCTGCCCTGAGCCCCCAGGGGCCACCAAGGCTCCTCCGAACCCAGGAGAGGACACAGGGTCTCACTGTGTAGTTCAGGCTGGCCTTGAACTCATTATGTAGCCCAGCCTGGCCTAAAATTCACAGTGATCCTCCTGCCTCAGCCTCCCCAGTGCTGGGATGACAGTCGTGCACAAGGCCAGGAGGCGCCAGGAAGGAAGAACTCCCCTTGCACCCCAGGCAGGGCAAGGTGGGTCTCTGAGGTCCCCTTGCTACCCCAGCCCCCCAGGGTCACCCACTGTCCCCACCCTGTAGAAACTTCAGATCAGTGCAGGTGGTACTGGGTGCGCATGACCTGAGGCGGAGAGAGCGGACCCGGCAGACCTTTGGTGTCCAGCGGATCTTTGAGAACGGCTTCGACCCCACGCTCTTGCTCAATGACATCGTAATTCTCGAGGTGCTGAGGTGGAGGAGGGCCCAGAAGTGGGCTGGGGGACATGCTGGGGTCAGACTGTGGGGTCCAGAATGATAGATACAATGGTAGTAGGATGGCTTGTCCTCTCTCTGAACCTTTGAAATGGGAGGCTAACCTGTCTCTGGATGGCTGTTGAGGAATTAAGTGAGATATTGTAGGAAAGCTCCCAGAAGTTGTCAATCAACAAACTTTTTTTTTTTTTTTTTTTTGAGACAGAGTCTCGCTATGTACTTCAGGCTGGCCTTGAATTCCTACCAATCCTCCTGCCTCAGGCTCCCGGGGAGACTGGGATGACAGGCCTTTGGCACCACACATGCTGACAAACCATTGTTACAGAGTCTGCCAAAAATTGTATGCATCAGGCAAATAAAAACTTGTAAAAGTATTTTAATACTAAATTTACTGAGACATCATGCGATTGATACGAGTTACCTTTGGCCTCTACAATTGCAAGACGTGCTCAAGGTAGTGGCCATTAGCTTCCAGACATTTTTAAAATCAGCGAACTGCTGAAGTGTGTATACATATTTTGGCAGACTGTATTTTCCCTCCCCTGCTTACCAGCCCTGTGGCTGGGGTGGACCCTGTGCCAGTCTTTGGGAAATGTGCTAAAAATCTCATCTTTATTAAGGCAGGAAGGAGACTGAGGCAGAAATTCTTCCCTGTGCTGACCCCGCACCCCCGCAAAAAACCCCATTTTTTTTCTGAGGTACCAGGGATCGAACTCAGGATCTTGCGCTTGCAAGGCAGACGTGGTGCCACTGAGCTAAATCCCCGGCCCAGCCTGTAATTTGTTTTATTGGGCGCCTCCTGTTTATTGCACTCAAAGACAGCCCCAACCGCACCGTGAGCTCCCACTTTGCAGATGGGGAAACTGAGGCTCGGGGTGGGGTCCTGCAGTGCAAGATACGAGAAGCACAGAGCAGCCTCAGATAGGGAAATGGAGCCCCGGTGCAGGGAGGGAAGCTGCCCACGCTCCCGCGTGACGCCCTGGCGCTTGATGCCCCCCATAGCTCAACGGGTCGGCCAGGGTCAACTCCAACGTCCAGGTAGCTCGGCTACCCGCCCAGGGCCGCGGCGTACAGAACCAGGCGCGTTGCCTGGCCATGGGCTGGGGCCGCCTGGGCACGAACCGCCCGGCGCCGAGCATCCTGCAGGAGCTCAACGTGACTGTGGTGACGTCCCAGTGTCGCCGCCGCGTCAACGTCTGCACCCTGGTGCCGCAGCGCCGGGCCGGCATCTGCTTCGTGAGTCCCCGCCCCCTTCCGGCCGCAGCAGGCGGGACCGCGGTCAGACTTCCCGGCCTTTCCAGGGCGGCGGGCGGCGGGCGGGCGGGAGGCCACACATGTGGTCCAGCCCCTGATCCCTCCGCAGGGCGACTCCGGGGGCCCCCTGGTCTGCAACGGGCTGGTCCAAGGAATCGATTCCTTCATCCGCGGCGGCTGCGGCTCCGGCCTCTACCCAGACGCCTTTGCCCCGGTGGCAGAGTTCATAGACTGGATCAACTCCATCATCCGCAGAGGCCAGCAGGACCCCCGGCCCCACCCCAGAGTCCCCATGAGCAGGACCCTCTAGGAATGGGCCACTTCTGCCCCCCCACCACGCCTGGTACAATAAAAGCCCCACTGTTTTGTAGAACGAGTCTGGTGTCCCTGTTGGTGGTGCCATCGCCCGTGGGGAATGGTCCTACAGTGGCTGGGACGTCGCTAGTACACTGCCACCAAGTAGTAGCAGCCACAGGGTGGGGCCGGGAAAAGAAACCAGTCTTTCCCTCACTCTCACTTTTTGTTGTTTTGTTAAGTTAGGTCGTTCAGGCTGCCCTTGAACTTGCTGTGATCCTCCTGCCTCAGCCTCCAGAGTGCTGAGATTACAGGCATGCACCACCAGACCGACTTCTCCACTTTTCACAAAAGGATCCAGGATGCTGTTTCTGGTTTCCGTTCTATAAAACTCTCTTTCACCAGATGTGGTGGCTCATGATTGTCATCCCAGCGTTATGGAGGCTGAGGCAGCAGGATCACAAGTTTGAGGCCAGCCTGGGTAACTTAGAAGACCTTTTCTCAAAATACAAAATAAAAAGGACTGGGGATGTAGCTCAGGGGTAGGGCATTTAGTATGCACAAGGCCCTGGGTTCTAGGCTTAGCACTGTAAAAGAACCAAACAACAAAACAAAACAAAAAAAATCCCACTTCACATAAGATTAGAGAGGCCAGCAGGATGTGGGAGAGGCTCGAGGATGGGGCTCAGGTGTCCTTCTGAGTCCACAGCATGGGCATCCAGACCTCTCCAGTGCCTCTGACCGATGCCAGCAGGGCCCCTGCTTCACAGAGGGGGTGAGGTGCTGAGAGGGGCCTTCATTAGGACCCTGGGTTTGGGGCAGCACAGCAGTGCCCCAAGGCCTCAATGGCAGTCTATGAAGGAGCCTTCTGTGGCCATGGGTGGAGACTGTGACACACAGCCCCTGTCATCCTGTGCCACCTCAGCAGGCAGTTGAACAGAAAAAGTACAAGCAGGATGTGGTGGCACATCACACCTATCATCCCAACTATTCAGGAGGCTGAGGCAGGAGGATGCCAAGTTTGGCATAAGAAGACTTTGTCTCAAAAAATAAAAAGGGCTGGGGGGGGTGTAGCTCAGTGCAAAGGCCCTGGGTCCACCCCTAGTAGGTAGAGAGAGGGAGGGAGGGAGGGAGGGAGAGAGAGAGAGAGAGAGAGAGAGAGAGAGAGAGAGAGAGGCTACCAAAAAAATGTATACACACTTCAGCAGTTGGCTGTATTAATAAATGTCTGGAAGCTAACGGCCACCACTTTGAGCACCTCTTGTAATTGTAGAGGCCAAAGGTAACTTGTCCTAATCTCATGATGTCTCAATAAATTTAGTATTATAATATTTATACATTTTTTCTTGTGGAGTATATATCCCTAGAACTACAAAATACTGTGACTAGTATCATTGTAAAATGTATCATCTATCTGCTTGCAGCATGTGAGACTGCTGGGTAGGAAAAACCTGATTATTGCAATAAAATACTGCTTCATCTTTCAAGACAATAAACTTTGCTTGATAGGAGGGGCAGGCAGTATAAAGTGGCAGCAAGACAAATGCCTGGGAGTTTTCCAGGGCACACATCTATGTGCTCTAATTTTCTTTATCACTCAATTTTCCAAGTAGTTTGAACAATTCCTTTAGGGCCCTGCATGAAGTGGAGCACCTAGAAATTGTCAGCTGTAGGTGGCCAGTTCTCTGCTGAAAAACAGGCAATCTTCAGGATGGGAGGCAGGTAATGGGGGGTGATGTGGCATGGGCTAATACTGATGCAAAACTTTCCTCTCCCTGCAAAAAAGAGGCATCATTTTAGGTTTCTGTGGGTTTTCCAACTGGAAAAGGTAGAAGGGTTTTTTACTTGTGACTTATTTATGAACAGCTTCTAATTTTCAGAGGGAATATCTCATTGGGGCCTAGATTTAGTAGGAAGATAACCATTTTTCTCCAGGATGCTGGAGAATTCCCCAGAAACAATGAGATTGGTTTAGATCAGTTTGGGAGTTTCTGAAGCTTGACTTTAAGTCCATTTTTCATTCTAAGAATGCAACAAAAATGGATAGAACAGCTAGGTTCTTTGCACACCCAACTATGAGAGGAACTGAAAATTCCTTGTTCTGGTGGTGAAAGCACCTCAACTATGACTGGATTACTCTCTGTGTTAGTCCATTTGGGGTGCTTTGATAAAATACCATCAATTGGTGGCTTATAAACAACAATTTATTTCTTATAGTTCTGAGTGCTGGGAAGTCCAAGATCAAGGATGTGGTAGATTGGGTGTTTGATTCCTGATTCATATAGATGGTACCTTCTTGCTGAGTCCTCATATAGTAGAAAGGGCAAACAATCATCCGTGGGCCTATTTATAAGAATACTATCCCATTCCCAAGGGCTGTCTTTTCATGACCTAATTGCCTCTTGAGGATCCCATTTCTGAGCACTGTTTCCTTGGTGGATGAATATTTCAACATATGAATTTTGGGTTTACCCAAAGATTCAGACCACAGCACTCTTTAAACCTCAAAATCCTGGTCAAGCAGGTCAATGCTATCGAGCTTGGAACCCTCTAGGTGGCTGGGTCAGGCTGTCTTGTAGAGGAGGTTACAAGTGTACAGTGTCCTTCAGAGACTATCATGGGAGCTTCCAAAGCATTTAGTGTAGGTGTTATTTGATATTCAAATAAAGAGAAAAGTTGTAATGCTGGAGTTAATAGTTTTTGCTGAGGATAGATCAACATGTTCCCATGTAAACAGTTAGACTTTGTGTGTGTGTGCACACGCACGCGTGTGTGGACACGCATACATGTAGATCAATAGGATTCCTTTTAATACGATAGGTTTTCCAAGAAGGTTCAACATCATTTGCATGTTTCAATCTATAATTTCTACCACCCATTTTACCTAAGATGCCAACTAGACTGAGAAACACTTAAGATTACCATTCTTGTAGGAGACAACTATGGGAGGAAAATAGTTTCATTTACTAGCACAATGAATTAATTAGAGTTTGGGTTCATTCATTTTCCCTCACTTGGGATAAAATGATGAAATATTATCAGTGATGTGAAAGAATTGGAAGAATGCTAAAGATTAGGGGAAACCTGACACTAAAGCTGAACAAACTTTACCAATTTAAAATTTCCTTCATATTCTACACCTTCCTCTTTTAGTATTCGTTCAAAAGGTCTTAATGACAAAGAGTTTCCATCTTTAGAGAAACACAGAGAATACACTTTACAGATACTCATTGTGCAAGACTTCATGTCATTTATTCTAGGGTTGGTTTTTTTTTACTACCTACTTTCTATTTCTTCATAACAAGGGCTTACAGCTTAAATGTCAAAAAGGAAAGGCTTCAGACAAGTGTGCTAAAATAGATTAAATTTTTTCCACAAAGCTATCTCCTGGTGCTTCTAAAACTTATTTTAAACATTTTGGAAAACAGATATACTTTAGAAATCCTTGAAACCTATCACATTCAATTTTTAATAGCCTTTTAGTTGAAATTATAACTTTAAATTCTGTAATTGATGTGTATCTTTATAGCAGGTTGAACGTGCGGTTTAAAAGGAAATAAATCTGCTTGACTTATATTGTCCAGAAATTTAAGAGAATGCTTTCTTTGAGAGGAAAAAAAAGATTTTTGAGAAGGCATTTATTTCTTTCAAAATAAATATAAAAGTTATTTTTAAAAGCTAGGAAATTAGAACTACTAAAGACAAATTAAAATCACCCTGGAGCAAAGAAACATAACAGCTAATTCCTCAAAGAAGAGAAAGGTCTATAAATAGAGGCACTGAGAAACCCTGGAGAAGTTCCAGAAATAATTCAGCAAATTAATTACCATTACCTTTTCTAGATCTGGCCATTCTTTTGGTAGAATGTGGCTATGGATGTCAATTTTCATCTCCATAGGATCAGAGGAGACATGTGTTTAAAAAAAGAAATTTTGATATCAAGAGATCTCCATGAAAACCACAGAGTTAATTGATTTACTCAGCCCCTTTATAGCTACCTTCAGGTACTGGTCAAAAGGGGTGTTTTGGTCCATTGGAACTACCCTATTAAAGTTCAAAATTCTGTTTATCAACCTGGCTTTGAGTCAACACTATTTAGTAACCAGGACTCAGCACAAAATAAAAAAAAAAATTGTACTCAACCTCTGAGGTCAAAAGTACAACAAGCTACTCTGAGTTACTAACAAATGAAAAATGACTAATTTTAGGGGCTGGGGATTTAGCTCAGTGGTTCTGCTGCCTGCCTTGCAAGTGCAAGGACCTGAGTTTAGTCCCCGGTAGCAAAAAAAAAAAAAAAATTAAAAAATTAAAAAATGACTAATTTTGCATTTAAATATTTCAAGTGTTTTTGATTATATATAATCAAAATATATATAATTTAAAGTCAAATAGTATATGGTTAAAAATGAAATAATACAGAGGGCTTTTGAAGAAAAATGATATATCCTTGACTCATGTCTTCTTATACTTGGTTTTACTTCCCAGAAACAACCAAGTGTTTTTACTTTTTTGTTCGATTATTTCCATGTCTTTAAATAATATTTAACAGTGGCTTCATCATGAAAATGTAGCACATTGACCTGGTACTGGAAAAAAAAATGTAGCACTTTGAAAAGGTTGTGGAATAAATTTTATCCTTACTTTTATAAAAAATGTCCCCTCAAAACAAACAAACAAAAAACAAAACAAAAAATATCTGGGCTGGGGATTTAGCTCAGTGGTTCCATCACCTGTTTCATAAGCACAAGGTCCCAAGTTTGATCCTTGGTACCACAAAAAAAAAAATAAAATAAAAAATAAAAAAGTGCCCACTCTTCCAATGTATTTACCTCCATTGCCTTTGTCCCTTACTCATTCATTTGTTTATTTGTTCATACATGCATTTAATAAACATTTATCAAGAATTACAGTACTGTATGCTGGGTATAAGATTGAATGATACATAAGATGATAAATATCCTATAATAGATAATTGTACACAGCCTAAGTATAGGCGGAAGAAGACAGGAGCCATTGTTATTGAGGGTTACCTATATGGTTAGAGAGGGCTTCCACTGGAACATAATATAGAGCTCATGGCTGCATCTTTAAAGGAAACCTGGAGCAAATTAGTCTTTTATTGCTCTGTTCTCACCCTCTCCTCTTCCTAGAAAGCTTAACATATTCAAGGGACTCCAGGGTCTTTAGTAAAGCCTTGAATCTCCTTTGAGGTGATCCCTTCTACTCAGTGTCTCAATGACAACAATACAGGGAAAATGTAGTCAAAAAGCCTTTTTTCTGTGATTTGATTAGATTATGGATAAATTATAACAGACATACTTATAAGTGATACTCAGGGCAAAAGAAAATAAAGGACACTCCAAATTCCTTTTTAAAAAAGGTCAGTGAGCTAAAATCCAATGACTGAGACTTTAACACACAGGCACATGCCAGTACTTTTAGAGCACTTCTCTTTGGCAGGCACTGTTTTAACCATTTCAGTCACATCAATTCATTTATTGCCCATATCATTGCTAAGAGGAAGGGACTATTAACAATATCCATTTTATAGAAGAGAAAGATGAAGCACAAAGAAGTTATGCAATTTGTCTGCAGTCATATGATAGTACATGGTAGGGCCTCAATATGAACCTAGACAGTTTGGCTTCAGCATCTTAGAGATTTGGGAATTAATATCTCACAGGGATGGAAGATCCTCACTTGTACTTATGCAAAGCTGAAATCTATCAAGCTAAAATTCTTGAAGGTTCTAAAACCTTATGAAACAGTAGGCTAGACACAGTAACAAAAACAACATGATGTCACAAAAACAGACATGTAGACCAATGGACTACAATAGAAGATTCAGAATCAAACCCATTCACCTATAGCTATCTGATTTTTGACAGAGGGCCCAAAAACCTACACTGAAAAAAAAGACAGCCTTTAACAAATGATGCTGGGAAAACTGGATATCTACATGCAGAAGATTAAGACTAGATCCCTGTCTCTCATCCTGTACTAAATTAAAAATGAATCAAAGACCTAGATATAAAACCAGAAACTGAAATTTCTGGAAGTTAACACAGGGGAAACACTTGAAGCCAAAAGAAAAGACTTTCTAAATAAGTCTCCAAAGCACAAGAAATAATATCAAGAATCAACAAATGGGATCACATCAAATTATAATCTTCTGCACAGCAAAAGGAAAAATTAACGAGTGAAGAGAAAACCCACTGAATGGGAGAAAATATTTGCTTTGCACTATTCTCATAGAGGATTAATATCTAGAATATATTAAGAACTTAAAAAAGTAACCCTCAAAAAACAAGTGAGTTAGTAAAAAAGTAGGCAGATGATATGTATAGAGACATCTCAAAGGTAGAAGTACAAATGGCCAATAAGTATATTTAGCCATTAGAGCAATGCAAATCAAAACTATGTGGTGTCCAGATCTCAGAATATAGCAATTTGAGGAAGAGAAGAAGCAGGGAAGTGGGTCCCTGGGACCCAGCAAGGATCTGAAATGAGAATTGAAGTCCATGGGGAGAGGAAAGAGAAAGACTTCAATGCAGAAGAAAGAGGTGGCAAGCAGCATTTTCTCTCTGAGCCCTGACTCACTGCATGGGAGGGGTAGCTCTAACCTGCAGACCCGCAGTAACTACTGGTGACCCCAGAGGCCTACATGGAGAAACACACCAGTAGAATGGAGCAGTGGACTATAGGAACCAGCCTATGAGTTTATCCTGACTGTGTGTGTGTGTGTGTGTGTGTGTGTGTGTGTGTATGTGTGTGTGTGAACAAGGATGAAAGACAAAAGACACAAAGATAATTTAGAATGAGGGGCCAGGGGGCTCTTGCCTTTAGTGGAAAAAGAGCCCTGAGCATTTGGCTCACCTCATTTTTATTCACTTAGACAAGGGTGCAAGCAATAAGGTTAATGGAAGATTTATCTGCCTCTTGTTATTTATAGTATGTACCCAGGCAAACATCCAGATCTCAGCTGTAGTGGCTCTTCTCTGAAACTTACAACATGCCAGCATGCCTTTTTTCTCTTTTGTGCTCACAAAAGGTCAATTAGGCCTCAGTCCTTATTATCTGGTCTCCTACAGTGGACAGCAGATTGCAGAAGCTGGTGAATTATTTGGGTTCAGATGTCCCCCAGGAGAGGGTAATTGGCTGGTCACCAGCTTGGAGAGGGAACATCCAAGCTCAGCAGAACTCAGAGCAGCTGTGGGCTGGATCCATATAGCAGCTCCCAGTTTCAGAGTGAGGCATAACTGAGTTCAAGTCAGCAGGAGATCAAGGAGCTGAGTTCAAACCATCAGGGATCCGAGTTCAAGACAGCATGAGGCACACAGAGTGTTGCAAGCTGAACAAATCAAGTTCCAGCCTCATAGCAAGAAACCAGTCTGAACTTCAGTGGAACTAAAGGTGCAGACTTGCTGGGATTATCCAGTAACCTGTAAATCTATGGCTAGCTTGCTGGGATTGATCAACATGGATCTGGGCTCTGTCTGCCCACTCTGTCTACCAGTGACAGCAGAGACATGCCTTGACATGGACATTTGTATTTCTTCCTTTTTATTCTTGATTGTTTTTATATGACAGTGAGCATTGTATCTAGTTTTGTTGTTGTTGTTCTGTTCATGTTTCATTTCTTCCCTTTTCTTTCCATACTGTCTTCTTCACCAGTTTCCCAAAGTTCTTGTAATCTTCCTTTGTCCTACAGCCTTGCTTCTAATCTCTTCTTCTACTTCTATGTTTCCCCCTTTAACCCTTTTCAATTTTTCCCCTGAGGGTAAAATTGCCATATGTAGGGGATATTTACTGTATACAACTTTCTGGCTTGTTTTAGATTTTGTTATATAACTACAAACATAGTTCATACAGTTAAAGGTGGCAAATTAATAGTTAACACAACTTGTCATTTTCTAAGCTGTGTTTGATGCTCTTGTTATTATTGACTGTACTACTTTAGCCAAGTTGACAGATTCCCTAAGGATTCTCTATACTAGCAATGAAGCTACCTGCCACAAGCAATTTACAAATGACCTAGGAATTAAACTTAAAAAAAAGAGAAGAAGAGCGTGGTCGGCGCGGAGGGATCTGGGGTGAACGGAGCGCGGAAAAATGTCCCCCTGAGGAGACCTGCAAGTTCTGTGGGGGGACCGCAGCCGGTCCGGAGGAAGGCGGCCGCCGAGCCCGCCCGCGTGCGGCCCCGAGGGAACTTTCGCTGAGGCTGGACCTGCGAGAAGTGCCTGAACATGAACCCCCAACAACAGCGCATGGCCGCGACAGGGACCGACAAGGAGCTGAGCGACCTGCTGGACTTCAGTGCGATGTTTTCCCCACCTGTTAATAGTGGGAAAACCAGACCAACGACACTGAGAAGCAGCCAGTTCAGTGGATCAGAACTTAGAAGATGATGAAACACTTTCCGCCTTTCTTTATGAAGGCAGAATTAACCTGATTGTGTAAACCAGACAAACAATAAACAATAAAGGAAGGACAAAGGAAAATAAAACTATGGACCAATTTACCTCATGAACATATTACATAAATCCTCAAAAAAAATAAAAGCAAATTAAATTCCACTGTTCATAAAAGGAAAATCATAATCAAAACAAACTACAGCTAACATCATACTTAATGAAGGGATGAAGGTTTTCTTCCATGAACAAGAACAAAGCAAGTATGTCTACTCTTAATCTCTCTCCAGTTCAGTATTTTACTAGAAAATCCTGGTCAGCATTAATATGGCAACAAAAGGAAATAAAAGAGGAGGAGATTGGGAAAGAAGAAATAAAACTGTTTCCATTGACAGACAACATGATTGTCCCAAAGAATCTTCAAAAACCTAGAGTTTAGCAAGGTCACAGGATATAAGATACACACCCCCCCATCCCCATCCCAGTCTTAATTCTCTATACATTTGGCCCTTCATTTCTTCTGGTTCACTGTCTGCAGATTCAACCAACTATGGATTAAAAGTATGTGAAAGAGGGGCCAGGGATTTAGCTCAGTGGTTCCAGCGCCTGAC